TATTTTCAAACTACATCATATATTTTTCTCCTCTCTGATAAAAAATATTCCTCATATTGTTTGTGTCAAGTATTTTATTTTTATCTATGCAATGCTATATTCTTATTTTATAATAATTACTTTTATACAAATTCTTTTGAAAACTGTTCTTTATTGATTTGTATCATTTTCTTTATTTCTGAAAAATAAAACTTTGTTTGGGAATCCTTTTTTTGTTTCTGTACAAATTAATAAACATAAATACCTACCAGGCTTAATATCCAGCAACATTAAACAATTAAGTAAGGCCTATTGTTAGTAATGGTAAATTTTATACTAATTAATGTGATTACTCCTGGCCACCTTGTTCTGAATACCTTCAACTGTGTCAATGTTGCTACCAACTCCAATAATTAAAACTGAAGTCATTTACTATGAAGTAAAACTTGGGTGTAATCCAAATCCACCCAGTTGCCGGGGGCAAGGTACCAAACATGATGTCCAGTAGAGGGTTAAGAAAGTATCATTATTAAATCACTATTAAACCCCTCCTCGCCTACGCCATTGCTTGTACGCATATGGAAGTTATCGGAATTTACTGTATTGCTTATAAGTCGAAAATGCGAAAAAGACACGTTTAACATTACTAGTTTGAAGAATAACATTCATGTTAGCCGAAACAGGTGTATTCTAAAGGTGTTTAAATTCATTTTATTGTTCATTACGATTATGATGTCGTAAAATATAGACCTATTTAAAAAAAAGCATAACTAAAAAGTGTTTAAACGCATTTTCTTCTTAGAAAAGCCGCACATGCATGATATCATTAACATTACGGCAAATCAAACCCTTGAAGAAGCCCCATCAACCATTTAATTATTACGATGGGCATCAAGGTACAATCCTTATGCTATCGACATTAGCTCAACCCCGGCAACTAACGTGTCCCAAAACCAAGAATTGAAATCTTGACCCATTATTCTGATTAATTAGTGGTTAAACATCTTTAGGCATCTGAAAACGTTAGTTTTTAATCTAGTGTACTCAAAAAGGAACAACATAAAGCTTTATGCCGCCTTAAAAACCCAATCCCATGTTACGCAAGGCGTCGATAGAGAAAGAATAAGGCTTTGAGTCAGAACAGGCAAGGGCTTAGATAACTGCCAAAATACCTAATCTGTAGACCTCACAAGTCTAGACGATATATTTGTGCCTCTGTTTTTAGACTTTCAGAACAAATGCATGTGATGTGGTCAGTAGGCACATAAAAGAGAAAAGTAGTTTTAATCTAGAGACTTCAAACATTTCTGAAGGACCGAATTTGAACTTGTAGGCCGTGGTGTCGATGCCAAAGTTTAGCGTCGTCCGCAAAGATAAGCTATCGTTATATCATCTCTATGCCCATATTGTGACAGATATTTTGAAATGTGTCTAATATAGGACAGAATACATAGCTACTCAACAGAGATAAGCGCAATCACTTGTCCACGACTTAAGAAACCACTGTACTGCAAAACCCACCTAAATGGAAAATGTCTTAGATGTGTGTTTTAATACAAATGTGTACCTCGTCGCGAGTTAGGACCTGTAGGTAGTCTGTTACTACTCTATATATAAAAACAATAAAAAGATAACGTGAATTTTATTTGTTCAATTTCTTGGCTAACTGTATTTGTTGCATCTTGTTCAATTTTGTTAATATTGATTAACCTAAAGGGTTCAAATGTAACAAAGAAATTGTGACTAAGTTTCCGGGTGCGGGTATGCGGACACTAGTTAAAGTAGGCCCTATATATCTATTTATATTTATAGAAATGAAAGTATGCTTATCTGTTTGTCCTATATGAATTACTACATCTTTTTCATCGGATCGCCATAAAACTATGTGAACAGAGTTTTTTTCCAGGAATCTATTCGGAGGGGGGGGGGGGGGGGGAAGCAGAGCCCCCCACCCCCCCGAAGAAAGTCTATCGAACGAAACGGAATATTTATATAGAAAAAAATACTTTTAACAGTGTCCGCACGCCCCCCCCCCCCCCCCGGAAAGATTTCGCCAGGGCGGCACCCTAGCAGGAAGCAGAAGCGTAGCAACCTATTCCGGCGCCCGGGGCGAACTATCAATTATGTGCCAACCCTATTCAAACGCTGGCAAAAAGGCGCCCATCCCTACATACACTCCCCTATATAAAATAATTGAGGATATCAGCCATGTATAAATCTGTTTCCTTAAATTTTAATGAAGAATGAGGATTTTTTAAAAAAATTGTCTACCCCTTTTGGCGCCCCATTCGATCTGGGGTCTCTGACAGGAAGCAATGCAATTTTTCTCCATAAAAATAAAAGCCAGATGCAATTTGACACTGTTCGTACGAGAGTCATAAAATTTTGGGTAGTTGGTGAAAAGGGTTTCTAGAAAGAAAAAAATTCTTAAGTGTGGCACCCTGGGAGGGTTCGATTTTTCTAATTATACGATTATGAGCTCAGAATCCAGAGGGGAATCCAGAGGGGCTATCTCATCAATTGCGGTCATAGGTAATACTAGATTCAGCAGAGGCGCAGCGAGGGGGCGGGGGGTACATATGTCACCGGGAGCCAACCCTAGGGGCGCCAAAATGGTTGGAAAAATTTAAAAGCTCATTTTAGCTACAGTTTTGCATTATAAATATTTAAAAAATACGGGGGGGGGGCGCCAAATTGAAAGTTTGTCTCCGGCGGGAGGGGGGGGGCGCCAAATTGAAAATTTGTCCCCAGGCGCCAGGAATGGTGCTACGCCTCTGAGATTCAGTGATAAAACTACACCAGGTTCATCCGCCAGCTCCCCGGCGGTTGAGTGGCCCAGAGCGGTCAAGACCCATCTCGGGCGACCCTACGGTTTAGATGGGCTACTATAAATGTTCACTAAGTAGAATAATGAGCGCCCGCCGGCGCCCTGGCAGTTGGCGACAGCGAGCGCCCCGGCAGTTGGCGACAGCGAGCGCCCCGGGCTCTACAGAGAGTGCCTCTTTAAAGAGCACCCTACAATAGGGACACGGTGGCACACGACATTTTATAATTAAACCGAATTAGGGGCGCCCCTGCGGAAATATAACCAGTGGCTCCCTGGAGCGCCAAGGGACGCGTCTCTAACACATGGGCGGTCGCCAATGTGTGTTCTACCTCACTATTACAGAGGTTGATTAACGTACACTCAAGGCTTTCATACAGTGAGCCTTGGTGCGTCTAGGCGGCAGTGGAGACAAACCCGCGCCCCAAAAACGAATATGTGGGTTTGTTTGTTTAAGCATTATCAAAGATTTCATTCGTTTGTCATTCAAATTTGAGAAGTTAATGCTAATACCCCTGTGATGGTTTCTACGAAAAAAATTCGATTTGGTGGCGCCCTGGCAGGGTTCCATTTAGCTCCCCGGGTTTTCCCGTGAGTACTATGGTACCTTTGTTCGTTTTAATAATTGCGAAACGCTATGAATATGATGGGCTACTATAATCGCTCACTATACCGAGTGAGGCGCCTTCCTACCTACGCCCACCTACCTACATACCTAACTCCCTGCCTACGTACCTACCTATCTACTAACCTGCCTGCGCTGCTGCCTGCCTACCTACTTTCCTACCTACCGTTATTCCTGCCAAACTGCTTTCCTTCCACCCCGCCTGTCTACACACCTCACATCCTACTTACACACACACACATATCTTCGTATGTATATATGTATGTGTTAGTGTGCTCTAGGACTATGTATTTTTACATTTTTGTTGTTACGTAGAACTATTCAGTATAAAGGAGTTTCCTTTTTTTTTTTGACGTTGTAACTGCCGCTAAAATATTCTTTTTTGTATGTGTGCATAAAATAGTGTAGGTTTATTAACAAAAGTAAATTTTAGTATGTATTTAAGTGTATATAATCATTTTCGTCAAGCCAATGTGTTCATAATCTTAAATTTAAAAACCCATGAAACTCGATAGCCAAAGATTTAGAATGAGAATAATTGCTATTTAACCAGTAACACCTATTCTGATTATTGTAATAATATTTTTTTTAAATAAATATACACAGAGATAGATTGTTTTCTTATATAATTTATTTAAAAAGTCAACTGTATTTCATAACGAAAATTAACACAAAATACATTCGAATAGAAACTGTCAAGGGAGACTACTCTAATATTTGTAGGAATAATAGTTTTTATTTAGAGTTTTTTTTTTATTATTAGAAGAAAAGTTAATCATGTAGGTTCTATAAAAGATTACCTTGCATTTAAAAAAAAAGATATTCGGCAGGTTTAGAATGAGAAATAGTCAAAATTATTTATTATATTCATTAGTTGTTTTTTTTTAATAATATAGTACAAAGACCTGTTTTAATTATTTTTTTAAAATCTTATTTTAATTAATAAATTATAAATGAAGATCGAGGATCTAAATTTTAAAAAAAATAGTTTAACTGTCCCTAAACAATTGTATCAATCGCTGAGAAATTAAGAATTAATAATTACGTTTAACGCTTTATTAATTAAACGAGTTGAATTATTTCCGTTTTGATAAACTCGCTCTCTCTTTATAACTACTAACGCTTTATCATTGAGTTTCTTAAGAGAAAAATACAGGAGAGCGGTAATTATCATTGACTCTGTCATTGATAATTTCATTGAGTCTTTCATAGAAAATAGTGTTTGATCGGCTGATATATATATATATATATATATATATATATATATATATATATATATATATATATAACGTCTCTAAGGCCTTCCCTCATAGTTCAAGCTACACTTGCTGCCACGCCCTCTACATCGGGCGGCTATACCTGTATATGTAAATGTATTATGTTCTAGCTGGTTTTGACAATCGACATGGCGTTTAAAACCAATGCATAACGCGCATTACCCCTCTCATAGATAAACAGCGTGCAGGTCCTTGAATCTTAATCTCGGTCTCTCTGCATGAATGTAACCCGACACAACAACAACCCTGCAAACTCTGACTCGCTAAACTGTATGCCACGTGATGCCCGACTTACCTGAACACCAGGGCCAGGTTGACCAGGAAGGGCAGCAGGTACCAGGGTCTGGCATTTCTCATGGCCTTGCTGGACTCGGCTGAGCTGTACATCTGGATCATGGTGTTGGCTTCTGTAGGCAAACAAACAAAACAGAACATTAAAAAAAAACTTAACCCGAGTTTTTTTTATTTCATATATATATATATATATATATATATATATATATATATATATATATATATATATATATATATATATATATATATACACCCAAATCAGAAACACCATTCATCTGACCTTTATCTATCCCTAGACGACACTCAGATTTGAAACACCAGTAAACACCAATTCACCTGATTGATCGAATAATCGCTGCCATATAATTATATTATCTCCCCTTTTGTTATTGGGTATTGTGGCCTATCTAAAGCTTGTTAACGAACGGCTATACAATACTGTATTGTTTTACCGCCGATTTGATTAAAAAGCCCAAAAACTAAAATCACTGACCGAAAAATCGGCAGAGAACAAAACAAAACAAATGTGACGTCAGCAATGTGAGCAACTTAAAAACAAGGAAGTATTTTTAAACAACACGAAACAAAACTGTACAACGGATAGGAATAATAATGGGCTAATCCAAAAGCCAATGAATTATGTTTATGGTTACAAAAGTCGATGGGGAAACAGCTTGTAATTTTTTTTTAAACACGGTCGCCTCGTAAAGAAAATATGCTAGTAGATTCTATGTTTACTCAAACTTTTGCCTCAATCGTAGACCTGTCACTGCCTTACTTTGATACTAACAAAGATGCCGCTATATAATAAAAATGGATGTGGTACTCTCCTAGCCTATGGGGGAGGTAAAGTTCCCTTTCAAACCTGACGGTCCATGGGGCAAGTGAAGTAGAGTCCACTTATTTCTGTGACCTCGGCATATGAAGGGATAATGTGGTCAGCACTATGCCCAGTCGCCTTTACTTTCCCTAACGTGAGTTAGGTACAGTAGCGTGGCGAGGGGGGGGGGGGGGGACATATTTCCCCGGGTGCCGACCTTAGGGGGCGCCAAAATGGGTTGGAAAAATAAATTGAAAGGTTGAGGGGGGGTGCAAATCGAAATCTTGAGGGGGGGGGGGGGGGGCTGCAAATCGATAGTTTGAGAAGGGGGTGCAAATCGAAAAGTTCGTCCCCGGGCGCCGGGAAGGGTCGCTACGCCTCTGATTAGGTACCCATCAGAGTTGGGCGGACTCAGGGACGGTCTGCTGACTTGAACCCGGATTCGAACTCGAGTCTTACGGGTTAGCAGTCCAGCTGTGGGTTAATTAAAAAGTAGACAGATGAGTTCAGGTTTTCCACATGGGGGTTTGAAGTTTGGCAGCACATAGTTGGTTGCTGGTGCGTATGTGTTGCTGCAATGTCCGTACATTGGCTACACAGTATCGTAGCACGGTCGGAGGGGGTAGGTTGGGTGGAGGTTTGTGGTAGGTTGGGTTGATATTTGGTAGGTAGGGTGGACGTCTTGGGGTAGGTTGGTTGGAGGTTTGTGGTAGGTTGGGTGGAGGTCTTGGGGTAGGTTGGGTAGTGGTTTGGGGGGAGGTTTGGTAATTGTTTGTATGGAGATTTGGGGGTAGGTTGGTTGGAGGTTTTGGGAGTAGGTTGGTGGAGGTATGGGGTAGGTTGGGTGAAGGTTTTAGGGTAGGTTGGGTGGATATTTGGTAGGTTGGTTGGGCGTCTATGGGGTAGGTATAGTTGTGGTTTTGGGGTAGGTTGGTGGAGGCTTGAGGTATGTTGGGTTGAGTCTTAGGATAGGTTGAGTGGGGTTTAGATGAGGCTTTGTGAAGGTTTTGAAGTAGGTTGGGTCAAGGTGGCAGAGGTTGAGGGGAGGTTTGTGGGTAGATTTGAACGTTACGGTACTCGCAGATTTACCTTCACCATCCACCCACAGTTAAACAAAACAACAGCAGGCTTAACGACAGCCCCGCTAACTAAATACTTGTTACAAATGTTTCAGTTGCAAAAACTATCGGTACCTCTAATCGATTTTACGTGACTTTAATCCACCAGCTCTCAAAAGACTTCCCTCTGCCAGAATACTATCATCGTATGTAAGATGTAGGTCTAATACCAAAGGAAACCATTACTAAGTAAAATTTAAAAAAACGTAAATTGTTCTTCTTCCGGTGGAAAGAAATAAAACAAAATCTTAGTCGGTGGGGGGGGGGGGGGGGATAATAACTCGTTGTATTAATTTAAGTACTGTTCTCATCCGTTAAATAAATGTAATTCCGACATTCGAAAAACTTTATTTTAACGCAACGATCTTTTCGGTGATTTAAAAAAGAAAAAGTATTTTTAAAATGCATTACCTTAGTATTTACGCTTGATCGGTAATTCCCTTTGATTTGTGTAATCAAACTGCATTTGTATTTATTTCCGTAAGTATATAATTTCTTAAAGTGTGTAGCGTTAATGTGTCATTATCTAGCTGAACGGTCTCAACATGAAACTAGCTCACCCATGACTAAACCAACCCCCTACGGTTTGTTGTAATAATCCCTCATCTAATCTTCCTCTTAAATTCAAAGAAAAGCTAAGCCTCTTAAAATGACGTCAAAACCTAGCATTTATTTTGTTTGTTGTTGTTTTTTAAAAATGTAAAGCGAGTTTTTAAACCAAAATCGGCTTTACCGAATATTTATTTAAAGCGTGAGTTTTAGCCACACAACGCGTGCATGTTTAAGTATTGCTGTGGTCGCTTAACTTATACCTGGAACTTTTTTAATACCCTAAAGACTACCGTGTACACCGGGTTATTTTTAGCTCTCGGTCACGTGACGTAAACAAACAAAAAAAACAAAGGCATAAAAGTATTTGGTTCCCTACCAAATCAAATTAATTGATTGTTTTGATTGATTTTACTAGGAAAGGTCCGGTTTCCATATTTAAAAGCCGAAAACAGATTCGCTTGGTAATAGTGTAAACCACAGTTTTATTCAGTGGATAAATAAAACTGTTTACTAAACGGACGATTGACCATTCTAACTACAGAAAGTGAACATGTTTGGGTTGTTGTTTTTTAAGTAAACACTGCTATATCTGGCTACAAGTATAATGCGGGGGAGTGACGGTGGGGTATTGGCTACTGGCATTGAAATCGATTAACGATATTTAATCGATCAAATCTAACATTTTAAAGAAAAATGTTCGCCCCGATCTTTCAGCCAACAGAAGTCGGCCCGTGATTGGTTGAATATAGCCACGTGACTTCTAGAGTTAATCAGCTCATGTACTCCATTTAAAATTAATTACATGAAACCTCTTCCTCCCTGCACTTCCTCGTTTTCTCACTCCTTCCTCAAAACATTTCTCTAAATCAATTATCGTCTGTTGTCTCCAACCTATTATGTCAGTGTCATGCAAGAAAGATTCAAACCCTCCTCACCCCCCCCCCCCCCCCCACACACACAGAGGTTATAAATGATCGCAAAATATTCCTGATAATTCTCTGAGGTATAACAATGATGACCCCAACCCTGACCTAGACCCCTAGAATTCCTTCCAGGAAATTAAAAGTACTCTTAATCAGCACACCACGCAATCAACCATAACGGCTAAAAGTACACTTGCCCTATCGTGAGTAGAGATTTTAAAAAATACGACTCACTGCATAGATTAGGGGCGGAACAAAGCAAAACAAAAGGTGGCTTTAAACCCTGTTTTTGTGTTCGGTCAAGAGTTCATGTCACGCGTCAATAAATATAGGGCAGGGGTAAAGTTTACGTTTAGACTAAAGTACTTAATTCTAATTATTAATGAACTGCTGAATGAGGACTGAAGTACTTAATGTAAGTTAGAACAGAAATACAGAATGCATGTTAGCAATGAAGTACTGAATACATGTTAGCAATGAAGTACTGAATACATGTTAGGAATGAAGTACTGAATGCAAGATAGGAATGAAGTACTGAATGTAAGATAGGAATGCAGTATCAAATGAGGACGTACTTAACGCAAGTTAGGACTGAATTTTAAGACAAAAGTACTAAATGAAGACAGAAGTACTGAATGAAGACAGAAGTACTGAATGAAGACAGAAGTACTGAATGAAGACAGAAGTACTGAATGAAGACAGAAGTACTGAATGAAGACAGAAGTAAAGGCAGAAGTACTGAATAAAGACAGAAGTAAAGACAGAAGTATTGAATGAAGACAGAAGTACTGAATGAAGACAGAAGTACTGAATGAAGACAGAAGTAAAGACAGAAGTACTGAATGAAGCAAGTCAGAAAAGATTACTAATCTCGTTGATGTGATCCGCAGTGAATCTATTCCTCAATATCGATTGGCCGGTTGTTGTTTTATTTTGAAATGTATTTAAAACGATATTGTTGTGGTCTCGTGTGCATGGAAACAGGAGACGTAACTCTCGAGCAAACCGCCAGGGATTAAACAGTGACGTTTAGTAATTAAACTAGATGGGTCATGGTCAATCCAGCCTCCCCCCCCCCCCCTTTACAGCCAAATACAATACTAGGTACCAAAGACACGAGGATAATACGACACCATGTGTTTGTGAGAGAGAGAGAGAATGTGTGTTTGTGGATGGTTATATATATATATATATATATATATATATATATATATATATATATATATATATATATATATATATATATATATATATAATTAAAAACACTTTTATGATGTGCTAATTAAGGTTATCCATCCTACGAGTTAATCAAATAATCCATGTCTCCTCGCCTATTGTTTGTGTGAGCTATACCTACCAGATGTCGAGCACGCGAACACAAATGATATGTAAATGATATGTAAATGATACGTAAAACACAGACAGGCAGCCCTAGTAGAGCCTGCTGCAAGGTGTTACACAGATTATGATTGTGGAGGTTGATTACAATTTTTCTACCAAGCAAATACAGAACGGTGAGCAGACCTGGTTGTTGAAACTGAAGAGTGAGTCAATAGGAAGGTCACCGTTACAGAAGTCATTCAGAAAGTCAGGATTATGAATATGATGGGTGTTTAAGTTTGTTAAGGAAGTCTTTATTTAGGCCACTAAGGAAGCCAGTATTTAGCTGTACGGTTGCTAAGAAAGCCAGTATTTAGATG